TCAGACTGATCTGGTTCTTGTTTCTTACCCATTGACTCACAGCGGAAAAAAAACCTTAATCCTAATGCTTTCCTTAACAAACGCCACTAATTTAAAAAATGAACAAACTAGTTTGACATAAAAATAAGATGTATTCATTATTTTCAACAGTAAAAATACACTACATTTAAAATGACAAAACTGCAAAATACAGAAAAAAGGCTCAGAATAACAAACTTACTTTTTAAATGAAATGGGGAATTCAAATCTGAAAAAAAAAAAATAATATTCTCAGATTATGTAATCCGTATGAAACTTGCATGCAGGCGCATCCACTACTTTGTAGATGACAAGTCAGTGTCGCCGAATTCATCTCTTAAACCGAAAACACTAGTTTATCAATAGATTATTAAAATGTTAATGCAGTTTAATCTTACTGTTTTTCCCTGACACATTCATCATCATTACTTCTGCCGGTGTGCTGTGGCAAGCTTTATGTGTGCGCTTGAGAGTTTATTAGGCTATGTAGGCAATTAAAGTCTCATTAGCATGATTTAAATGGTTTATTAATAAACGTGCGATTAGTCGACTAATGCTTAAAATTAACAACTACTAGTCGACCAGAAAAATCTTTAGTCGAGGGCAACCCTAATATATAAAATGGAAATATAAAAGATTTAAGTAAACTGATTTAATAATTTATATTCACTATGATATAAAATAAAATGTTTTTGTTTTTTAATGATTATATAGCATGATTTTCCTTTATTTTAGCATACTTAGGTAACATAAAACTTCCTTCTTGCCATTATTTCTTACTCTGCTGTCTGTTTTTTCCCCATGAATTAAAGCTGAACAGGGTGATAGTGTTGAATACTAAGAACACTCTATGTCCCTACAGACCTGAACTAGAGTATGAGGCCTAAATCATGGGAGAGGCCACAACCTACATTAAACTACAGACAGAGAGATGTCTTTGTGTGTGTGTCTGTGCATGTGTATGTGGGAGGGGGCTCTGTCTCAGGCGAATGCGGTGTTCTCTCGTTTAACGCATCTCACTTTCTAATTTGCCAATTAGCCGGCTAGCGAAGCACAGAGCAGAGGCCATGTTTTATTAATGTGGCATCGAATGTGCGGCAGTGAGCTCCTGTTTGGGGCTGGCCTAATTGGCACTGTGATATTATTCCTTTGTACAACAGCAGGGGTTACCCATTTCTCATTCAATACCCAGTTGCCTATCAAAAAAAAAAAAACTGTTGTCTGGTCATACCTGCTGCAAGCAAATCAGCAATGGGTGTAACATGGATTTGGCGCTATGCACAACGGACAGTCTATTGCACAATGTACAGTAATACATGCGTGCTTAAAGTAATGAGAGACTTACAACTGGAAGCCATTGTGATATATATATATATACATATATGTGTATATATGTAGTGTGTGTGTGTGTGTGTACTTGTTTATGCTACATTGATGGGACTGGCCTGCAGTCCCCATGAGGTCAGTATAAAAGCAATAGAAGTCTATTGAAAGTCCCCACAATTCACAGAAACCTAATGTGTGTGTCTGTGTGTGTGCAAGTGTAGGCCTACATCCATTATTATTACTACCTTCATTTGAATATATTTTCATATAATATTTTGGTTATAGTTTTTGTCTACAGTATAACGAAAATATAAAAGACAATTAATGTTAATAACCTATTGTTTTAGTAATATCACACTGTGAGTCTATATACAGGACAATGTACAACTCATTTTATATTTATATGGGGGTCCTATCAAAATGAATGAATGAATAACTACCCCTACCATATTTGATCCAGATTAGTCTTTCTCAGTCGTGACCTTGCTTGTAGCCAATGGGCTAGGGTTCTAATAGGCTATAATAATAATAATACGTTTTATTTATAAGGCGCTGTACAAGGAGAAAACAACTAAACATACAATTGGGATTTGACCAAGTGGCAAATTTTCTCGGTTCTTGTGGCACAAATAAGTCGGTTTCCTCTGCTTTCCGACTAGGCGAGCGACCTGCAACCGAATGTAGGTCTCGTTTGATGCCGATAGGGGGCCAGCGGGCTCCGCCGTTAATGAACCGGAGATGCGCGTGCAGGGCCCGGGGTGTTCGGTACGGCACGGAATAATGCCTGTGGAAGAGGAACGGCGGAGGTGTACACTCAGCAGCGAGGGGTACGGAGAGAGAGAGAGAGAGAGAGAGGAGGGTGGTGGGGTGGTGGGAGGGGTCTGATATGGCAGACGTCACGGCTTGTGAAGCGGAGTATAGGCAGTGTTGTCAGCCTGGTGTCAGTCTGATGAAGATTGGCATTCAGGTAAGCTGTCATTCATTTTCAATGTCAGAGCGCGGAGCGGGCGAACACTCCAGCGTGTTTTTTTCCCTCTCTCGCTCTCATTACAAAAGGCAGGACATTATTCATACAGACTGGCCGAGGGCTGAGGGGAGAGAATGATAGACAGAGAGAGAGGAAGAGAGAAAGTGAGGGAAAGAGAGAGAGAGAGAGAGAGAGGGAGAGAGAGAGCGCGCGTGAGAGAGAGGGGGGGGGGGGGAGTGAAATAGAAGGAGGGAGGAAGAGAGGAAAGACGGGAGAAGATGCCGTGCAGTTTGGGGGAGCGCATAAGAGTCTTTCTGGATGATTTTTTTGATGGATGATGCGTTTGGACTTGTGAAATGTGGTGGTAATTTTTGTGTCGACATTTTTGTTGGGCTTTAAAGGGCATTTTATAGTCTTTTCCGCAGGGATACATGACAGATTCGTCATATTCATAACGCGCAAAATATACGCATCTAAAATCACATTTAGAATTTTAATTGGGGTGCATTTTGCTATAGCCAATGTTTTGTTTTGAGCTATACTTATGTCTTATTGGCCTTTAATGAGTTTTACAAGATTATATTTGTATTTTACTGTTCGTTTATGACTGGTCAGTTTTGAAACACGATTTTGCTTAGTAGCCTATCTGCTTATCTGGCATTCTTGTGCCAGTTTGACATGAAATAGTCAAATAGATAAATAACATTATCAGGATAGTGTTTTGGAAATTAAAAACACAGTTTACCTGTGTTATGCAAATTATAGCTTACACTGACTTTACGCGGAGTCAACTTTTTTAAGAATATAGGTACATTTTGGGTCGCGAAATATTTTGTCGCCCATGACACATTTTAAACGTATTTTAAAAGTATTTTTTAAATGTTCTGTGGAATGTGAATCTATAATACATTTTTAATGAACAATAATATGTTTTACGATTTGTTTATGAACCGTCCGATACTGACACTAATAACTGCGTTGGAGCAACATACCCTACTGTTGTTATGGTTACCGCCTCGCCAAGTCTTTTCGCTTGCGACTATTTAGCGACAGTTAAAAATACGTAGGCTACTCTAAATAATTATAATAATTATGGTTCAAAATGTTGTTTAAAAGAACGTGTGTGTGTAGGCTACTTTTAAGGTCCCCCGTCTTGTTGTGATGCTTGTAGACATAGGCTACTCCCCCAAGACTCCTATAATTCCCTTTCTGGGTGCTTTTAGGTAAATGACAAACCACTTAAACACATGTAAAAAGTATTAGAAATATTATTAGAAACATGTTTGATTGGGTTCTAGTACAGTTATCATAGTTCAGCTATTACTTAAAAAAGGTGTCAGTTCTTTGCTGCTGCTATGTCTTATTAATACGGTGTGTATATATATATATATATAGTTTGGATGGCAAATCGTGTGGTATAGTATTTATTACTCTCTTGTGAATTCTTAGATTTGTTCTCTGATTTGTAAAACATGAAGCTGATTGTTCCGTTTTGACTTGCAGAGACAACATTGCATGGTATTGTAAATGATTAAGTTCCTCATTGGATATAGACTTGTTCCTTTGTAAAAGTTTAGTGACATTCACTATTGTACATGACATTAAACAACCTTTATTGCACTGGGGCTGTGCATTTTTCTGTAAATTTGGATTCTCTACCTAAACTAACAAAGCTGAAGCTGAAAAACAGGGAACATTGTAAAGGTCTCTGTAAAGTATGAAACAAATTTTGTCAAGACATCAGGGTTGTTTGCAGTTTACAACTATTTGCAAGTTGGTATAAAATAGATTCATTTGTGCAAAGTTATTTTCTACAAATCTAAGATGATCCAGAGAGAAAGTGAGGGAAAGAGAGAGAGAGAGAGAGAGAGAGAGAGAGAGAGAGCGCGCGTGAGTGAGCGGGAGGGAGGAGGAGGAAGAGTGAAATAGAAGGAGGGAGGAAGAGAGGAAAGACGGGAGAAGATGCCGTGCAGTTTGGGGGAGCGCATAAGAGTCTTTCTGGATGATTTTTTTGATGGATGATGCGTTTGGACTTGTGAAATGTGGTGGTAATTTTTGTGTCGACATTTTTGTTGGGCTTTAAAGGGCATTTTATAGTCTTTTCCGCAGGGATACATGACAGATTCGTCATATTCATAACGCGCAAAATATACGCATCTAAAATCACATTTAGAATTTTAATTGGGGTGCATTTTGCTATAGCCAATGTTTTGTTTTGAGCTATACTTATGTCTTATTGGCCTTTAATGAGTTTTACAAGATTATATTTGTATTTTACTGTTCGTTTATGACTGGTCAGTTTTGAAACACGATTTTGCTTAGTAGCCTATCTGCTTATCTGGCATTCTTGTGCCAGTTTGACATGAAATAGTCAAATAGATAAATAACATTATCAGGATAGTGTTTTGGAAATTAAAAACACAGTTTACCTGTGTTATGCAAATTATAGCTTACACTGACTTTACGCGGAGTCAACTTTTTTAAGAATATAGGTACATTTTGGGTCGCGAAATATTTTGTCGCCCATGACACATTTTAAACGTATTTTAAAAGTATTTTTTAAATGTTCTGTGGAATGTGAATCTATAATACATTTTTAATGAACAATAATATGTTTTACGATTTGTTTATGAACCGTCCGATACGGACACTAATAACTGCGTTGGAGCAACATACCCTACTGTTGTTATGGTTACCGCCTCGCCAAGTCTTTTCGCTTGCGACTATTTAGCGACAGTTAAAAATACGTAGGCTACTCTAAATAATTATAATAATTATGGTTCAAAATGTTGTTTAAAAGAACGTGTGTGTAGGCTACTTTTAAGGTCCCCCGTCTTGTTGTGATGCTTGTAGACATAGGCTACTCCCCCAAGACTCCTATAATTCCCTTTCTGGGTGCTTTTAGGTAAATGACAAACCACTTAAACACATGTAAAAAGTATTAGAAATATTATTAGAAACATGTTTGATTGGGTTCTAGTACAGTTATCATAGTTCAGCTATTACTTAAAAAAGGTGTCAGTTCTTTGCTGCTGCTATGTCTTATTAATACGGTGTGTATATATATATATATATAGTTTGGATGGCAAATCGTGTGGTATAGTATTTATTACTCTCTTGTGAATTCTTAGATTTGTTCTCTGATTTGTAAAACATGAAGCTGATTGTTCCGTTTTGACTTGCAGAGACAACATTGCATGGTATTGTAAATGATTAAGTTCCTCATTGGATATAGACTTGTTCCTTTGTAAAAGTTTAGTGACATTCACTATTGTACATGACATTAAACAACCTTTATTGCACTGGGGCTGTGCATTTTTCTGTAAATTTGGATTCTCTACCTAAACTAACAAAGCTGAAGCTGAAAAACAGGGAACATTGTAAAGGTCTCTGTAAAGTATGAAACAAATTTTGTCAAGACATCAGGGTTGTTTGCAGTTTACAACTATTTGCAAGTTGGTATAAAATAGATTAATTTGTGCAAAGTTATTTTCTACAAATCTAAGATGATCCATCAGTAATGTTAGGTTAATATTAGAATAAATGCAAGTGAACCCTGTTTCATAATTGAAACATTAATTAGATAATTTGTGATGTTGAGTTCCGTTCTTCGCAGAAACGTGGTGAGAAAATACAGTTCTTAAATCATTTTTCGGACTGACTTAATACATACCTGGAAGTATACATTAACACCTTTCTCAATACTATTTAGAAAAAAGCTAGATTCTGTTTGTATTTAAATAAATAACACTTTCTTAACACTTTTAAATAAATAACACTTTCTACAGATATTTAAATGCGATCATCTTAATCTTTCCAGTACAGAGTTGTATATTTTAATTTCTTTAGTGTCAGATATTATGACATACAAACTGGCTGTAGTGTAGCATCTGTACAGATACATGAGACAACATGAGAGTGACATTGCATGTCCATTTTCCACCCAAAGTCAAATCTCATTTAATCAGCTGTTTTATTTCAGCAGTGCAAGCGATCACAGGGCTGTAATGTTTTGTCTGGAAGATAAAAGTTGTTGGATGGGGCTAATTTAAATGCAGAGATCCCTGCTGGGATCTTAATTGATGATTTGTGTCGCGGGACAAGCTGCCCAGGGGCAAAACTGCAAACACAAAATACTCCAACTTTATTTGCATATTCCCCTTCTCCACATTACGAGCAAATTACAATCTGAGGTTCACTATTGCAGGACCCAGAGCTGTTTAGGTCTAATCACTAATAAAATGACTCAGTCGCCCTAAATGAGGGAAGTAAACTGAGCAAACAGAAGATTGTAAACCAATTGTAATGCTTCTTGACTTGCATAAAGCTATTTAGAAAATTGTCTTCCGTTCTAATGTGCCGTTTTTGATGCCAACCAAATACGTCCACAGCACTAATAATTTAAATGGCCATTTTCTACAGGTCTCATTTGGATTTTCAGATCTTACACATGTTGTTTGTCTGTTGACAGTTAATGAGATACTCGTTGTATCTGCACAAAATAAAAAAAAATCCAGGCTCAAATGAGAATTATTCATCAGCCTGCAGTCTGCTGGGGTCTTGCGTGTTCAAGGTGAAACAATATGAAGCTACATTGTTCTTCACTCTTCTTAGATGCACAGAGACAGAGCTGTGTTGTTACAGGCTTCCACCGCTAAGCCTTTGCTGATCCTGATGGCTCTCTGAGGTACGTGGGCCTGATATTGCCATTGGACGGCTGTGTGTCCAAATGACTTCACTGCTCTCCTACCGCTAGGCACGGCGGTCAAACTCCTCTCCTGGGACCTGGAGGTAGGGGAAGATTTGCTTGATTTACACTTAACGGTTACCCGTATGCTGCCACTCACATCACAGGCCGTGCTGTTTTCATGTCATCCTGGCCTTGGAGAGACGTGGCATGATATGTTGGAACTGACATTGATTTGATTTACGAGAAAACACAGACTTGAATTCGCCAGTCTCCAAAAAGAAGCAATGATCTGATGTTAACAAATGTGATG